TGCTGGTGGTGCTGGTGGTGCCGGGGTGGGGGTGGAAGGCTTGGACTTGGGCTTGGTGAAGATGTCAGAGTGGAGCCTATTCACGTGTTGTGGGGTCTAATGCTTGTGCAATTTCAGGTCATCTTAATTTTTAAAAATTTGAGAGGTAGGGAGAGAAGGGAGCTCCCATTCAGATAGAGAGACTCCCATTCACTGGTTCACTCCCCAAATTCCTACAATGGCTGAGGCTGGGCTGGGCCAGGGACTCAACCCAGGTCTCCAAAGTGAGTGGCACGGTCCCATTAACTTGACCTATCACTTGTCGCTTCCCATGGTGCACATTAATAGGAAGTTAAAGTTAGGAGCCAGAGCCAGGAATGAAACCCGGGTACTGTGATGTGGGGCATCAGTTTCCTAACTAGCATCAGGCTTCTCTTTAAGGGAAACAATTACAATTTACAATATAAAATTAGGTACAAATTAGAATATATATAAGTATAATGACAAAATAAATGGTAACAAATTGTTCAGGCAACTCGCCACTCAAAAGCTAATATTTGAGAGATAAGAGTTCAATGCAAGGAAATCATCTTTCTTCAACAGGCCAACAATGTGACGGCATGGTGAACTTTCCTGTCACAAAGACCATCCCTGATTCTCAAGTTAACAGGAGGCATTTTTCAAGGAGAAAAAGGGGAGTTGAGGGAGTTTGGGAGGATAATTGGCTTAGCTGACGATGGGCAGATTCCTATCTTGAAACCGGCTGGGTGGTTTCCTGTTTGACTCTGGGCTCGGCTATTTACAGCTGGTGGTCTTAACTTCTGAATCTGAGGTTTCACAATTCCAGCCAGCTTTCCTGATGTCTGTCTCTGGACATTTTTTTTAGAGATTTATTTTATTTACTTGAAAGGCAGAGTGAGAGAGAAAGAAGGAGACAGAGAAAGATCTTTCATCTGCTGATTCACTCCCCTAGATGGCTGCAATGGCCAGGGTTGTGCCAGGCCAAAGCCAGCAGCCTGCAACTCCATCTGGGACCCCCACATGACTGGCAAGGGCCCAAATATTTAGGTCATCTTTCACTGCTTGCCCAGGCATACTATCATAACACTGATCCAGGCAATGGCTTAACCCACTGTGCCACAACGCTGGCCCCAGTCCTTGGAAATCTTAAGCAAGCATAATTTATCTGTTAAGTTAAACATAAGTCTGATTAGTTGCAAAGCTAGTAGTTATCTTTTCTTAAGCAGAAAATGGAATCACTTTAGTGCTGGCTCCAAAAGTACAAACTTTAAGAAACTAACAAATATCATAAAAACCAAAAGCCCTGACATAATGATGCAGCATTTAATTGAATTTGCAATAAGTTCTTGATATGAAAAAACTTCTGTTTAGATAAGCATTTAGGGGGCCGGCACTGTGGCGTAGTGGAAGAGCCACTGCCTGCAGTGCCAGCATCCCATATGGGTGCTGGTTTGAGTCCCAGCTGCTCCACTTCCGATCCAGCTCTCTGCTGTGGCCTGGGAGGGCAGTGGAGGATGACCCAAGTCCTTGGGCCCCTGCACTTGCATGGGAGACCCAGAAGAAGCTCCTGGCTCCTGGCTTCAGATCAGCTCACCTCCGGCCATTGCAGCCATCTAGGGGAATGAACCAGCAGATGGAAGACCTCTCTCTCTCTCTGCCTCTACCTCTTTGTAGCTCTGCCTTTCAAATAATAAATAAATAAATCAAAAAAGCAGACATGGCCTTTGAGTATTAGCTAAGCATTTAGAGAAGAATTTCTTGTGTGTTTTGTTTATTACTAATATACATATGAAAGAATTGCCTATCATTGCATCAAACAATGAAGCTGGACACAGTAGAAAGTGTCAAGTATACTGTATTGCTGAAAGTATTTTCAAAACAGACAGATTTTGGTGTGCCTTACTGATGTTTTTCACAAGATTGTTGTTAAGGTAAAGTGTCTTCTAGTTCATGGTAATGTCACTTACAATATATAATAAGGCTGTTTCTTACATCTGGTGGAATCTTAGATTCACTAACATCTGACACATTTAACAGGATTGCTTTCCTAAGAGGGCAAGGACACAAAAGGGAGGTTATTTAGCATGTGATTCTGGTGATCTAGGTGACTTGGAGTAGGTGGTAACAGTGGAGGTGGTGAGAAATCGTCAGAATGTGGATCTATCTTAAAGCTAAGGACACAGGGTATAAAGAAACATGTAAAGGATTACTTCAAGGCTTTTGCCTTGAATAACTGGAAGAATCACAGTGCCATCAGCTGGGACAGGTGCATAGGACACGGAAGAGGTTTTTGGCAGTAAAATCAGAAGCTGACTTTTAGGCAAGTTATATTTGAATGTTTATTAACAGATGGGAGATAGGCAGAAAATATGGATCCAGGTGGTGGTGGCAGGTGTGTAGATGAGATGGTGCAGCCTGTGACAAAGTCCTCTTAAGATTCCTAAGGTTTTCTCAATGCAATCAGAAGCAAGACACCAGCTGGAAGTAGGGAAGGGGAGGAGGTGTTAGAAGTTTGAAGACTGATGATAAGTAATGAAACAGTCATCCAGGAACTTGCTACTCAAGGGCCAGCAGGATATGCATCATCTGGAAACTTGCTGGAAATGCAGGTTCTCAGGCTGCACAGAAACTGTACTTATCAAGATTCTCAGGTGATTTTCAGCACACTAAAGTTTGAGGTACACTTTCGGGAGAATAAATAGATCAGGGAAGAATAGTCTGATGGGACGGCTGCATAAGGGGCCCATTTGAGTTTACAGCATAAATTTAATGAGAGCTGTATTGGTTGTGGTCTTTTTTCTTAATCAAATACAATAGTAGGGCACAGCTGCACAGTAGACCGAGGGCTGGTTGTCACTAGGGTTCCAGTTATTTTAAGTAATTAATTTTTTTTTTTTTGACAGGCAGAGTGGACCGTGAGAGAGAGAGACAGAGAGAGAAAGGTCTTCCTTTGCCGTTGGTTCACCCTCCAATGGCCGCCGCTGCAGCCGGCGCACCGCGCTGATCCTGGCAGGAGCCAGGAGCCAGGAGCCAGGTGCTTTTCCTGGTCTCCCATGGGGTGCAGGGCCCAAGCACCTGGGCCATCCTCCACTGCACTCCCTGGCCATAGCAGAGAGCTGGCCTGGAAGAGGGGCAACCGGGACAGAATCCGGCGCCCCAACCGGGACTAGAACCCGGTGTGCCGGCGCCGCAAGGTGGAGGATTAGCCTATTGAGCCACGGCGCCGGCTTTAAGTAATTAATTTTTAAAAGATTTATTTATCTATTTGAAAGGCAGAGTTACAGAGAGAGGGATAGACAGACAGACACACACACACACACATACACACACACACACACACACAGAGAAATTTTCCATCTGCTGGTTCACTCCTCAAATGGCTGAGATAGTCGAGGCTGGGCCAGGCTGAAGCTAGGAGCCTGGAACTCCATCCTGGTCTCCCACATGGACAGCAGGGGCCCAAGTACTTGGGTCATCTTCTGCTGCCTTCTCAGGCACATTAGCAGGGAGCTGGATCAGAAATGGAGCACCTGAGACTCAAACCAGCACTCATATGAGATGCCAGCATTGCATGGGGTGCCTTAACCCACTGTATCACAACGCTAGTCCCTTAAGCAATCAATTTTGCATGAGAATGTATCAAGGATGTTGAGGACATATGTAAATAAATGCATTTATGTATACTGTGGATGCACAATAACTTTTCTTTTTTTACTGAGGTTGTACATGACACAAAAAATTTAGAGACCTCTTGTTTGCATATTAGCTAAAATATCACTTCCTCTAGACACATTTGTTTATAACAGGTTATTCTGAAAGTCACTGTATTTCTAAGATGCAGAGGATTCTTTTTTGATGGTTTAGTCTGAGGAGTTCTGGTCAACTGAAACTAAGGAACCTCCTGGCGTCCTCTGAAATCACATCTAAAATTTAACAGGGTCCTTTATTGAGGCACCATATTGATTTTTGACCCATAATCCTTAAAGATTAATCCTGGGGCTAGAAATTTCAAGCATAAATATTACCAGTATAAAATATTTTTGTTTTCAAATCCCCTGTATGAGGAAATGTTAAGAAATGATCCCACAGTGTTTGTGAGTATTCCTGTAGTACCTGATGCAACCTTCAAAATAAAATCCAGAGATGTTAGGCTAAGGTTGCTGTTGTACTACTTTGACTATTCATTCAGAAAGTCTGAACCATAGCACAATGGAAAATGTCTAAATTAATAAGAGCATTTTAAGTGTATTTTAAGTATGAGCTAAGCATTTCTTGATTATACAGAGAATCTACAGATCTTTAGGTTCACCGTCTCATGTGGTCTAGAAATAAACGTTCATTCAGCAATGTGAATACTTTTAGCATTGAAGAATGCATTCCTTCTCAGGTCAGCTAATTCCATAGCAGGGCCATCCAATTTGTTTTTCATATTGACTCTGTATCTATCTCCCTAAAGATGCCATTGTTAGTCCCAAATCTGCCAAATGGAAGAAATAATCAATTCATTTAAAATTTTACAAAACCTCATTTTTAAAATGTTGAGACTTCTTATATTATCAGTTTAGCATCCTGCACTTTTCATTGTATTTTCTTATTTATTCATCTCTGTATTAGAATAAAGACCTTAGGATTACATACATTGGTTCAATTGATATTTGACCATTTCAGAATACTTGGGGAGTTCAAACTCCATTGATCTGGGCATGACACCACCATTAATTTAGAATAAGATTCCATTAGTTTTCCAATGGCTCAGTTAACACTGTTAATTGTTATTGAGCAAAAAAGCCCTGAGGATTTTTCACAAAAATTGCTGTCAAGCTGGTTCTCCTCCATCAAGTACTAGTGATCAATCATTTGGACTTTAAAGCAAGGAGCTTATTTTCCCTTAATAGGTTTCACCTTGTTGGTTTCACCTTCTCATTCTATCCCATCTGGTTCCTTAATAATTCTGATTCCATTTTCTGAGATTTCAGCCACCTGTTCTGTGCAAAAAAAAAAAAAGAGTTAACACAGCAAGCCTAGATTGCTATCCTTAGAAAGGCCTGCTTTTAAACTTGACCCTTAGTTGGTGTCTGGGAACTTAGATTTAGGGAGGGTTATTAACATTCCTTAATTGGTGAGTGTTCGCTGTACCCAGACTGTTTATACAAACAATGTGTTTATGCTGAGAATTTGCTTTTTTTCATTGAGTCTTGTCAGACAGAGGGTCCCTATTCTACCAACTCTTCAACTACATACATATCAAATGGCTTTCCTGGGGCAGAAACATTGCAAACATGTTGCTGCATTGTTGTTGCTGGGGGAAAAGGATGCTCTATGTGACCCATCATGGAAAGGAGAGAACATGAGGAGGTCTGCACAAGGATTCCTCCTTTGTGTGTTTTTATCTTATGATTTGGCTATGTGCCCTCACTACATGGCTGTAATAAATCTTGGCTCTGAGTACAACTGCATGCTGACTCCCAAGAGTCTTTTCGGCTGAATCATTTAGTGAATCTCTGAAAGATGGCACAGTATTGAGCACCCTAAACATACCTCCTGACAGGAACTACCTGCTGATCTAAATTGCCTGACCTCAACTATCGAGCAAGGGTGGGAGCTGAAGGAGGACTGTGACAGTCCGCACATTGTAAGCTGAAGACTTCGTCTTCACTTGGGTCATGTGACTAATAATGACTTCAAATGTCCAACAATAATTTCCACAAACCATTAAAGCAGTGTTTCACAAATCTGTTCTGAGGGCCCTCATCTCCCAGACTCTCCTTGAAACAAAGGGAGGGCCCCAGGTCAAGTATCTTGAACTCCCAACACACATTCTCAGTATCCCCACAGCAGGGTCCCTAACTGACATACCTCCTGAGCAAAGGAAAGCTAGCTTCTCTTTTCTTTATATGGACTGTTTCAAATATATAAAACAATGTAGAGAATAATATAAAGATCATCCATCTCTCCCCCAGCTGTATTCAATGTTAACATTTTGCCATACTTGCACCCTTGCACCAGTTCACTTTATTTTTTAAAGAAATTAATATTTGTGGGACGAATCTTTTTTTGTATGCCTCCTAAATGACATAATCCAAACCCCTCTTCTCAAGAGATAACTAAAACCTTTGGGTGTATGTAGGTTATGTTTTTTGTTCATATTTTCACATTTTTACCATCCATGTGTGGAGAGTTGTTTTGGTTATGTTTAATCTTTATAGATATGTTATTGTTGTGTTATAATGTGGGAATTTTTTGTACTTTGTCTTTTTGGGAGTATAACATTTTTACATGTAGGCCATGTAGCCTTGACATATTTTTTCACTGATCTATACCATGTAATGTTATAACTATACTAATAACTTATTTAAATGCCTATTCCCAAGATAACTCTATACAAACATACCATTAACTTATTTAAAGTGCCTATTCCTAAGCTAACCTTATATGTAATAAATCAAAATCTCTGGAGTTTGAGATTAGTCATCATTATTTTTTTAAGTCTCCCAGGTGATTCTAGTGTGCTGTGGAGTTGAATAACAGTGTCCAAACCTAGAATTTTCAGTTTATTGAGAATTGCTGTATCTTTCTATATTCATGAGATACTGACCTGTAATTTTTTTCCCTGTGGGATAACGTTTGCCTCAGAAAACAAGCTTGGAAGTATTCCTTTCTCTTCAATGTTTTTAAGCAGAGTTTGAATATTGGCATTAATTCTTCTTTAGATGTTTATTTTTAAAAAATATTTTGAAAATCAGAAAGAGAGAGAGAGAGAGAGATCTTCCATCTGCTGCTTCACTCCCTAGATGACCACAATAGCAGCCAAGAGCTTCATCTGGGTCTCCCATGTGGGTGGCAGGGGCCCAAGCACTTGGGCCATCTTCTGCTTTTCCCAGGCCTTAGTTGGGACCTGGATCAGAAGTGGAGCAGCCAGGACTTGAATCAGTTCACATATCCTATAATGTGTCATAATTAAGTTATTTTATACTTAATCTCTTTGGGATTATTTGAACTTAATGGATCTGCATGCTCATTTCTGTCTACAAATTTGGAAAGTTTTCTGTCGTCATTTCTTTAAATAAAGTCTCTGCCTTTTCTTGTTCTCTGCTCCTTCTGAAAGTTCCATGTTGCATGTGTTGATTCACTTGATGGTGTTCCATATTTCCCATAAACTTTCTGCACTTCTCTCATTCTATTTTTGCTTTGATACTTTGGGCAATCTCAAATGAGAGCTTACTCTCTTTGAGCTCATTGATTCTTCTCCTGCTTGATCAAGTCCAGTATTGAATCCCTGTATGGAATTTTGCAATATAGCTATTACATTCTTTAGTTCCAGATTTCCTGTTTGGTTCTTTTTTATGTATTCTCTCATTGCTCACTGAGCTTAAGATGATTATTTTGAATTCTTGTCAAGCAGTTCATAATCCTCCAGTTCTTTAGAGTTGGTTGGAGATTTATTTTGTTTCTATGGTGGTGACATATTTCTCTGATTATTCATGATCCTTCTGGCCATGCATTGGTGTCTGTGCATTTGAAAAGGTGGGGATGTTTTCTAGTGTTTACAGGCTGGCGCAGAAGGCGAAGTTCTTCATCAGTCAGCCAGTAAAGTGATACTTAGTAGATTTTCCAGCTGGATTCACGGATGGATTTGCTGTTGGAATCTTCAGATACTGGCTTGGTATCTGGATCTGTAGAAATAAGAAAAGATGCATTGAAGAAGTGGGTGTCTTGACTCCACTGGGGCCAGCCTCCTGAGTTCATGGGACTGGGACTGAATCCTGGGTCCAGGGATACACTAGCCTGGCACCAGGGTATACTAGCGTGGGAGCTGTCTGCCCCTTGGTGTAGGAAATATTAAGGTTCATCACTGTAGACAATTTAAACACAATAAAGCAGAATAAAAATGATCTTTTTATTATCAGTATGTACAACAAAACAATGGAAGTAATAAATCTTCCTACGGAGGTAGACACTCCCACTGCTAGGCTGGCCTGAGGTTTAATACTGCCTTTTTATCCAAAATAACTTAAGGATATTCTGTAAGATTTGGATAGTAAATTGAGCTCACTTTAAAGCTTAGAAATAAGATCTATATTAATTTATTAATATTGACTGAGCATCAAAGATTTTGGTAACTATCAATGGTTTTATCTATTTTTTTAAATTAGTGCTCAAGATTTTTATTTGAAAATATCACAAAGTTCATAGTCAGACATTTGTGTCCATAAAGTTTCATTGAACACAAACACACCCATTTTTTTACGTATCATCTGAGGCTACCACAGATGAGTTTATTAATTGTGACAGAGACCATATGCCCTGTAAAACCTGAAATACTTACTATCTGAACCTTTACAGAAAAAAATTTCCAAACTTTATTCCACAGTAAAATATATATTAAACTAACAATGTTTTTCTTCATTATAAATATTCATATGTAGTATAAATTTTAAAGTAAAAACATTTATTTAGACCTTTTTTTAAATTTATTTGACAGAGTTATAGACAGTGAGAGAGAGACAGAAAGAAAGGTCTTCCTTCCATTGGTTCACTCCCCAAATGGCTGCTATGGCCGGCACTGTGCCGATCCAAAGCCAGGAGCCAGGTGCCTCCTCCTGGTCTCACATGCGGGTGCAGGGCCCAAGCACCTGGGCCATCCTCCACTTCCCTCCCGGGCCACAGCAGAGAGCTGGACTGGAAAAGGGGCAACCGGGGCTAGAACCGGGCGCCCATGTGGGATGCCGGCGCCACAGGGGGAGGATTAACCAAGTGAGCCATGGCACCGGTCCCTTATTTAGACCTTTGACACTCTGATTTTTTTTTCCTGTGTATTAATTCTATGGGCCAAAGACTTCTTGAGACGTACCATTATGTCACTGATTATTGCAGTATCTCCCCATGTGATGATTTGGTAAGTGACAATTTCATTTCTTTACATGAAGTAAAGCAGGCTAAATAAGATAAAGACAAGTAGTTTTCATTCTCATTGAAACAAATTAATGAAATCAAAGGTCCCATAAAAGTGGCTTGGCCAAGAGACATACTTTATTTGTTCTTCACATGTTTTTTGTAATAATATTTTGATTTGAATATCTTTATATTGAGGCACATACCTGCTACTTTGCCATACTCTTCACCACTCCTTATAAATTACTGACCAACTTTATACAATGAAATTACCTTCTTGGCTCATGTGAACCTTTGAGTTTGTAATCATTGAACTAAAAGCAAAGTGTTTTCTTTTTTAAAATTCCCTCCCTCTCCCTTCTTCCTCTCCCTCCTTCTCCCTTTCTTCCCTTTTTTTTAGTTTTTGAGATAATATATTTTAAAATTAAATTACAGTAAAAAGGCTTAATACTTCACCAAATAAGAAGTTTAACAAGTAAAAAGAAAAAATACCCTAGTTTAGTGGGACTATATAATGGCTATAAACAATAATGAAAGGAAAAATGACCATTTCACCCATATACAGTAAATTTTAAAGTAATTATAGATCATTAAAACTATAGTAGTATAACATTTTAACCATTGGTCTCATGAATGTATAAAACAAGGTTTTACAAAACTATATTTACAGCAATACTGATACACAGACATTTTTTTTCTCTTTCCACTGTTTTTGTTTGTTTTTTAATTTTTAGCTCCCACATATAGGGAAGAACATGCAGTATTTGTCTTTCTAGGTCTGGATTATTTCACTCAACATGATGTCCTCCAGTTGTGTCCATTTTGCTGCAAATGGTAGAATTTCATTCTTTTTATTATAGCTGAATAATATTCTATTGTGTATTTATAGAACATTTTCTTTATCCATTCATCTGATGAAGGGCATCTTGGTTGGTTCCAAATTTTGGCTATTGTCAACAGTGCTGCTATGAACACGATGGTGCAGGTATCTCTTTGATTCATTGTGCTCAAATCTTTTGGGTATATACTCAGTAGTAGGATTGCTGGGTCATATGGCAAGTCAATTTTTAGTATTTTAAGAAATCTCCACACTGTTTTCCACCGTGTCTACACATATTTACATTCCCTCCAACAGTTCATTAGTGTTCCCCTTTGTCTACATCCTTGCCAGCATTTGTCACTCTCTGTGTTTTGGATTTTAGCCATTCTGACAGAGGTGAGGTGATATCTCATCATGGCTTTCATTTGCATTTCCCTGATGGCTAGTGATGTTGAGCATTTTTTCATATATTTGTTAGCCATTTGTATTTCTTCTTTTGAGAACTGTCTGTTGAAGTCCTTTGCCCATTTCTCAACTGGATTGGCTTTTTTTTTGTTACTGGATTTTTAAAGTGGGTGATATATTTGGGATATTAATCCTTTCTCAGATAGGTGGTTTGCAAATACTTTTACCCATTGTGTTGGATGTTTCTTCACTCTGTTGACCCTTTTCCTTGATGTGCAAAAGCTTCTGAGTTTGATGTAGTCCCATTTGTTTAGCTGCTTTTGTTGCCTGTGCTTTAGGGGTCCTATCCAGGAAGTCATCATCTACACCAATGTCTTGGAGTGTTTTCCTCAACATTTTCTCCCAGTAACTTCATAATAACAGGTTTTAAATTTAGGTCTTTGATCGATGGATGAGTTGATTTTTGTGTATGGTGAGAGATATGGATATAATTTCATTATTCCACATATATACATACAGTTTTGCCAGCACCATTTGTTGAAGGGATTATCTTTACTTTTAAAATTTTTATTTATTTATTTGAGAGGCAGTGAGAGAGAGAGAGAAAACAAGAGCTCCCATCCATTGATTCATTCCCCAAAACCTGGTAGGAGCCAAGGCTGGGCAAAGCTAAAGCCAGCAGCTGAGAACTCAATCCAGGTCTCCCACATGAGTGGCAGGGACACAATTATTTGAGTCATCACCACTACCTCCCAGATTCTGTATTAGCAGGAATGTGGAGTCAGGAGCCAAACCTATGAATTGAGTCCAGCCACTCTGATGTGGGACATGGGTGTATTTTTTTTAAGATTTACTTATTAGATCTTATTGGAGAATGGGACTAGGAATGGGAGAAGGAGGAGGAGGAGGGGTGGAAGAGTAGGTGGGAGGGTGGGTATGGTGGGAAGAATCACTAGGTTCCTAAAGTTGTACTTATGAAATGCATGAAGTCTGTATTCCTTAATAAAAGGTTTCTTTGGGGGAAAATGAATTTTAAAAAGATTTATTTATTTATTTGAGAGGTTGAGTTACGGGGGAGGGGGAGGTCTTCCATCAACTGGTTCACTCTCCAAATGGTCACAATGGCTAGAGCTGGGCCGATCTGAAGCCAGGAGCCAGGAGCCAGGAGCCAGGAGCCAGGAGCCAGGAGCCAGGAGCCAGGAGCCAGGAGCTTCTTCTGGATCTCCCACATGGGTGCAGGGGTCATTGCTTTCCCAGGTCATTAGCAGAGAGATGGATCAGAAGCGGAGCAACCAGGACACAAACCGGTGCCCATATGGGATGCCGGCACTTCAGGTGGAAGCTTAACTGACTATGCCACAGTGCCAGCCCCATGGAAATGGGTGTCTTTAACCACCAGGCCAAATGCTTGCCCCTGATACTTTTAATACCACACTGTTCTGCTTTATATTGCCCAAGTGGCAGGACTGCTCTTCCTCATCCTTCCTTGATGTATTTTCTGGACTGAGAGGCCTGTGCATTATTTTCAAGCGATTGGGGAGAACTAGTCCTTAAGAGGAGCAATGGGCCACTTCTGCAGGCTTAGAGGGTTTCAAGTGATCAGAAGTTTCAAGGTTTTTGAGTTCATCAACCCAAACTCTTAAGCCTCGGGATTTCACTTCTTCCTAGTTAGGGTGCCGATCTTGATATAGCAGATTTGCCACAGCTGAGAGTGTAAATTGCTCTGGGGTTCTGCTACTCTTCTACTAAATGCACAGCCCAACTTAAAGCTTTCTCTGCCCTTTGGTTGCTAAGGATAAACTGCCAGGGAGGCCTTCTGTTTTTCACACTTGGCCTTCAATTGATGATTAATCTCACTGCATGTGTATGTTTTAAGATTTATCTTATTTATTTGAAAGACATGGCTGGTGCCGTGGCTCAATAGGCTAATCCTCCGCCTTGCTGTGCTGGCACACCGGGTTCTAGTTCTGGTCGGGGCGCCGGATTCTGTCCCGGTTGCCCCTCTTCCAAACCAGCTCTCTGCTGTGGCCCGAGAGTGCAGTGGAGGATGGCCCAAGTCCTTGGGCCCTGCACCCACATGGGAGACCAGGAGAAGCACCTGGCTCCTGGCTTCAGATCAGTGCAATGCGCCGGCCGCAGCGGCCATTGGAGGGTGAACCAACGGCAAAAGGAAAACCTTTCTCTCTGTCTCTTTCACTGTCCATTCTGCCTGTAAAAAAAAAAAAAAAAAAAGAAAGACAAAGTTACAAAGCAAGAGGGACACGTGTGTGTGCTTGCGCACATGCACACACACAGAGAATCAATTTTCTATTCTCAGATTCACTCTCCAAATGGCTACAATGGCCAGGGCTGGGCCAAGCCAAACCCAGGAGCCAGGAATGCCATCCGGGTTTCCCATGTGGGTGGTGAGTGGCAGTGGCTCAAGCACTCGGGCCATCTTCTGCTGCCTTCCCAGGAGCATTAGTAGGGAGCTGGATCAGAAGTGGAGCAGCCAGTAGGGCTGGCACTGTGGCGCAGCGGGTTAACGCCCTGGCCTGAAGTGCCGGCATCCCATAC